GTAGTAGTAGTAGTAGTAGTAGTAGTAGTAGTAGCAGTAGTAGTAACATGGGGTTCCAACTCACCTTATAGTTTGATGCTGCAAAGTGTCTGGATCGGTAGCATTAACTGTTAAGACAACACTGCCAACAGGAATATTTTCTTGTTTGGTGACAGTCATTGGATTTGGGTGGAAAATGGGCCCTTCATTAACATCTAGAACTGTGATCTGAACAGTTGCTGTGGAACTGGTGTCATACAGTACGTCTGGAACCAATAGATCTTCATTTTCTACTTTGATCAGCAGTGTATGGAAGGCTGAAATCTCATAATCCAAAGGCTGAAAGACATGAACATACAGCATTGTTCACATTCATATATATTAAATGCTTGCAACGCAAGTTCCTTCAGACAAGGAGACTCTTTTATTCTTATTTATTTATTTAATTTTATTTAGTAGACTTGTCCCCGCCCATCTCCCCACAATGGGGGACTCTGGGTGGTTTACATCAAATTAAAACCATAAATACATAATTAAAAGTTATAAAAAAAACTTGGTCTTGTGGCAATCTAGAGACTATCCCATTTATTTTCATATAAGCTTTTTTAGATCCCAATCCATTTCATCAGATATATGGAATGAAATCACAAAGAAAGAGACTTTTTAGGGATTGTCCTTGGTTGTGATAGAAGGAAAAAAACTCAGAAGTGGCGAGAATCAAGAGTATGTGAATACTGGGCATTGTTCAAAGCAACTTTCCCCAGTGACACCTGTTGGCTGGGTTGATGGAAATGGGAACTCAACACATCTAGGAGGACACCAGCTTGGAGAACTGTGGCCCAGAAGAATGAGGAGCAACGCATGACATTAGGTCCATAGCATAGCTGCTAAACGTTGGTGCCTTGTTGGTGCCTCACCTTGACAACTGACAACATCCCTTCATTATTCTTTGCATTTGTGTGGATTTTGAAGCTCTGGGCTGGATTTCCATTGATGATAGTGTAAACCGCCTTCCATGCTGCTGTCGCTGGATCATCTCGATCTTCAACCGTTAAGTTCACAATCACACCGGTGCTGCCTTCTTTAACTGTGGCTTGGAACTCAAAATTAATAAAGAAGGCAATGAATATTACTACCCTTAAACAAATCATCACCACCATGAGAATAAATTTGTATCAGCTGCTATTAATCATTCAGGGCACCCCAAAAGTGGGGTAGGATGAAATTCCAGAATGAAACTGAAATTCTACAGCTAATAAATAACACATCCCTGCTTTTGAAAGATTACAGAGAAAGAAAATCGCGACTGAAACTGGCTTTGAAAACTCCAGTAAGCAATCTTTCTCTCTCTCTCTCTTTTTCTGTCTTCTGTGAATATAGGAAATTCAATATCCAGGATATAAAGATACAGTACTCGGGAATGCAATAGTGAAGAATGAAAATACATTCAGATGCATTTGAAAATAGGGTGTTTTAAAGGTGATCTGCGTTCATCTGTTTTGTGTATGTGTGTCTCTTTGTTCTTTCTGATCTGTGTGGATGAGGGTGCCTTCTGTAAAGAAATAATGGGAAATTATCCTGATGGTTATTTCCCATGTTATCACATTCACTTTTCATTTCTCTTTCCACTGAAATTACTCCACCATCTTACGGGAGAAAGATAATGCTTGAATCATTTAAGGCAGTGTTTCTCAACCTTGGCAACTTTAAGCTGCATGGATTTCAACTCCCAGAATTCCCTAGCCAGCATGCTGGCTGCAGAATTCTGGGAGTTGAAGCCCACCCAGCTTAAAGTTGCCAAGGTTGAGAAACACTGATTTAAGGGATCTCTAGTAAGGGTGAATGAATCAGCCAAGATTCAATCCGAATTCCAGATCTGAAGGTGGCAACTTCTAAATTTGATATTAAATTCAATAGAAGATTTGGCCATAGGCTATGTAAGGGAGAAGAACCAAAGTGACTGCAACTACTTCATCTTCAGGCCGAGTGAGATGAAAATAACAGGCATGGTCTACCCTTTAGAAGATATTAAAACCCGCATAATTTCAGCCAGGTGGTTTGAAGGGATTCACAGCAATATATTTTTGCAATATCTCCCCTGCATCTTCTTTCAGGCAGAGGGAGCAGAGATGAGAAAAGGATAGCACAACATATCTGAAGTGTCAAGGAAAAAAATCTATAAAGAAATAGTGCTCAACTAAAGTAGAAAGTAGTATCCCATTCCTACTTGAAAATATAAACAAGGGAAAAAACAGTTTAAAAATAGCCTGAATTGTTTGACCCTGTTCCTGTTTTTAATTGCATTTCTGTGATTTGAAATTTTGTTGCAATCTCCTTGGGGGGGGTTCATTTTTTGAAAAGTGGCTTATAACAAACCAGCCTCAACATCACCATCCGACCAGGAGTGGCTTTTCAGGATCTTTACTATCAATTGGACCAAGTCTCTTTTGATTACAAATACATTTTAACAACTATGTTCGACCAGTAGTATTGTGGGCATTTCCTTTGATCACGTGTGGATCTGGAACATCCGAAGACCACGTGTATATTAAGGCTGGCCATGCTTTGAAAATGATTTTTAAAAGGCAGTTGGAATGCATAGTAGAGTAAACAAAACACCTTTTTAAAGTAGCTACGTCTTTCCCCAGGCTTCTAGATGAGCTTGAAAAAAGATTTGGTTGTATTCAGACAAGTCAGCCATCAACAGGCACAAAGAGATAAACAACATTTACATACTATTCAAAAAAGACAATAAAAAGGAAACAAAAAGATCAGAACACCATCTCGCCAGCAATCAACACTCAGATAGCAGGGATTAACACCAGGATTAACACCAGACAAACAATCAAGCAGTAAACAACAGCTTAATCTAGGAACTCCTCCACCAACAATGACAGGGCAAGTATATACCGTAGCTAAACAGAGAGCAAACCCCACTCCCTTCTAGCACTGAAGATGTTGCCTAGCCGGGTAAAGAAATGTCTGCAAGAAAACAACCAAGCTCAGAGAACCCCAAGGGCTCCACAGTTTTGGTGGCTTTCAAAAGTTAAGTCATTAAAGTAATCATGTCTTTAGTGTCACTTGTTAATGCAGCTGTGTCTGTTTATATAGTATTGGATCACATGAACTCCATGACTCAAACACACAACTCTCAGCTCAGAACAGGTACAACGTCCTCTTTACAGTACGCAAGTTGCAAAAAGTAGTTAGACTAAATCGAGTCAAATCTCCAGGGACATTAGAGATGATTAGATTATGCATTAATTGATTGTACTAATCTTTAATATCTACACGTCCCAAAGTACCGCAAACTAGGGAGAATGAAATAGATGAGGCCAGATGTGTATTTAAGCCCTTGCCATCAAGATCTGTCTAAAACCTGTCATTCGGCAACAGAACACCTCAGGTCCAACCCTCAGAAGACTTTAACTGGGTCACTTAATGTATACGTGTTCACTTATCAACTGAGAAACACTTTCTGTCAAGTTGTGCCACTTAAATAGAACTACACATAGTCCCCAGTTTGAGAACGAGTTCCATTCCCAAGGCCTGTCCTTACGTCGAATTTGTACAGTATGTAAGTTGGAACAGTATTATTGTATAATACTATAAAAGTAGCATGGTGTAATTAACTCGAACCATTGTGTATTTAACTTGGTTTTTGCTACAATGGGCTCTGTTCTTAACTATGGGTCATCCATAAACTGGGTGTTCACCATCATTTCACAGCAAGCAGCCAGTTGTATGGGGCAGATAAACTCTATTTCATCTATGTATGCAATAAGCCTCAATTTATTTATTCAGCTATTCACACCAGTGAAAGCTTTCTACTTGTCTCCTAATGTGACAGACCACTTTGGGCCCATTCCCTAGACCAACGGAGGACACATGCCTCCTCCAGCCCATTTAATAGGACAGAAGTGGGTTTGCATCTATTTAAAGTGACTACGTTGCCACAAAACCTGTTTCGATCATTTCTGACCAGAAATAGACCGCTAGAAGTCAAGGCAATATTGCCAAAAGGTCAGCTGAACTTCTCCCAGCAAATTTGGACTGAGAATCTTTTTTTAAGGACAACTGCAATGAAGCCCAACTGCAGCTGGGCACCATTCCAAGTCTTCTTCTGTTGAGTCTCCTCTGGCCCTACGCTTGGGTGCTATTCAAGTCACTGGAACGGCATGACGAACAAGAAAAAGAAGGTGCATTACTCCACTATTACATCCTTCACTTGTCTTTTTGCAGCTTTCTAAGCCAAACAGTACATCAACCAGTTAAAATCTACTTTTATTGTGACCAAAGATGGCCATTTTAGATACCCTCCCAACGTTAGACCACTTGTGTCATGAGATTAGAGAAACAGTTCTATCCTTTTTCTGAAGGAATTAATTTCTGCCTCAGACTTTGTTGCCTATGCAGCTAAAAGTAAATAGTCCCTAAGAGCAACAAAGGTAGCACAAGAGGAAACATGGTTTGGACTGATGAGAGCGAAAGCCATTCACGCATTAGGATTCCACAAGCTGGAAGTGGTGGCTGAACCATCAAATTAAAATGCCTCATTGCTTTGCATAAATCTGAGAATGGGTTGCTTCTGTGGTTTCGGCTGAAGGATTTGTTGTGTCCTGTCACAGTGTTTGTTTCCTCTCACTGGGCTCACAGATGATGAGAACTGGCAATGTAAATAAGAATAAATTCAGCTCCTAAGAGGAAGCATTCAAAGTGCCAAGAAGTATTATTTCTTCCACTTTGGGCTACTGGCGTCCTCACTTTCCCCCTCACTAAAGAAACACTGCTTTGAAACCAAATCATAGAAGAAATGTTCAGGGAATAAAGTCAAGTCATGCCAGTTTGAGTATTACCAAGAGGATTAGCTAATTGGATTCTAGAAAAAAAATGAAATTAAATTAATTAAATTACCATAGTTTAATACATTGTCCCCCACTTGCCTCTGATCTATACTTGGAAGCAGAATGGCAGCTGGGCTAATTTTTGCCATATCCTATCAGTTACTTAGGTCCAAAGGAATTAGGAGATTGTATCTATACTATATATTCGCACTCTTTGATTTCCCCGGAACAATGACTTGTGTTTTAGCAGCAGAAAATGGGTTGGTGATATGATCGTGTTTTTTTTTTTTTTTGCTGTGATTTAATCAACCTACATAAGTAATTGGGATTTGAACAAAATACATTGGTTAAATCACAATGCAAAAGCATGAGTAGCAAGCCAACATTTCATGCAAGTGACAAGTCGTGTGTCATGAAGTCATGATGCAAACTCTGACCTTTATGTAGTTGCAAGCAATATTGGGACTCCCCAGTGACACTCATGTTATCCATGATTATTCCTCTCTTGAAGTCATTGCATGACCATAACAAGATTTCTGTTTGCACTGGAAGCGTGTAAGAAATAACTCTCTCTGTGTTTACCTTAGTATAATTTTATTGAAAGTTTTAAGAACAAGAATAAAAATGAATACAAACTAAAATAGAGTAAGGAGGAAAAAAGGAAAAGGGAGAAAGAAAAGAGAAAGCTGAAGTGCAAAAGGGAAAAAAGTGAGAAGAAAAATAGAAAAGAAAGAAAAACGATATAAAGAAGCCACAGACTGGTCAAAGGCTAGTATACTGACCCAACTCTTAGCTTAAAGTTCCAAGTAGGCTGAAATACTAATCTGCACAGTTAATTTCCAGAGCTATGGGTTGGCCATCATTGGAGACAAAATTCTAGACCAAATGGAGTTTTGATCTCATAATATGCTGTATCAACGTACTGAAGGCCCCAGTGCTATTATTACTGTACATTTCTAGCAACAGAACAGATCAACGCAATTGTTATTTGTCTTCTTTTTTCTACAGGGGGATTCTTCTTCCAAAACAGAAAGCAATTCCTAAATCAGTTTGGTATTTATTTCTGCAAACACAGACGTATGCCGAATATTTGCTTTTATCTTGTTTTATGTGGGAGAATGCCAGTTGCATACTCATGCCAGAAAATGTTCATTGGAGAAGAAGCGCTGGCTTCTTCTTGAATAATGAAACTTGTCTATGGGGAAGGAAAAGACAGAAGGACGAATGGCCCATACCTTTCATTGCTCACACGAGTGCTTGACATTTCTACATGAAAAAGCTTCTCTCCAAAGATTTAAGATGTCATTTTTCTCATATGATGTTCTTAACTATCTTTTTAAAAAAGATTCTGTGCTGAGAAATAAGCTTCTAACTCAGATCCAGGCAATGTTCTCTCATCATGAGATGCTACGCTTTGATTTCTTTAACCATAATGTTGGTTAAGCCTCAATTGCCTGGGTTGCCACAATGGCAGAGTTTACTTGATATACGGTGCCCAAATCAGACAAATCGATTTATCATTTAGACTAATATGTGAACAGGCCCTTCTCTTAAAAAGGGCAATTGCTTCAGAAGGCCACAAGGCAAACATCAGAAGGCCCCGAGGCCAGTATTTTAATTTTCCACCCTTCCCCAGGGTGATGCCGTAGTGGGGGACCAGGACAGTTTTCAACTTCAACATCAGCAACTTGATGATGGGCAAAACAAGATTGTGGACTAGCAGACCACTGTTCTCCTCCTAACCATGACAATAGAGTCATACTCCTGCAACCATGGACTATAACTCCCCAGTTCCCTTCCTCAGGAGTCATGGAAGTCAGACATCGAATGGTGTAAATTTGTGGGTATGCTTTAGTTCATCCAGAATCCAACTGAACCTGCAAAAATACAGAGTTTCTGTAAGTAAAGTATGCGCATATGGACATTTTATGGAGAATGCTTTACTTTTAAGATCAAATATCCTTTATATTCTCTTGTTCTTATTTTAAAAAAAAAGAATAAAAATCTCAGGTTTTCCTCTCCATTTGTAAAGAAATCTGCGGATTTGATACGTTCTTACGAAATCCCTTCCCATATCTGTTCTACGTATAATTCCTCATTGGCCTTTTGATTCCTCCTTTGATTCCTGGGAAGGTTTGCATAAACAGACTAGCCAAAACCGAGATGGGTTTGTCTAATTTGTATCTTCTTAGTGCTCCCCTGGCAAATCGCTGCAGCCGAGCTGGATTGTTTTGTTCAAAAATCATGGTTATTTGAAAACCCTTGATCCTCCCTCTGCCTTAGAGGTTTTGGAAACACTGAGTGATTTTTGTCACGCTTGGGATGGGGGAGGGAGAGGGAGAAACCAAGACAAAAGGCTATAATGCCTCTTTTTTTCGAGCTAACGTTGCTAAGTCCATTCCCCCAGCTATAAATACACCAGTGATTTACTGCTAATGGAACTGGGCAAAAAATAAAATAAAATAAATAAGTGTTCTCCCTCACCCTTGTTCCCACATTTTCCTTTCAAATGCTTGCCTTTATTTGCAGAAGTCAACATTTATTGTGTTTCTTTAAGCTTTTGAGCTCTTGCATAGTTGATATACAACTATGTATTTGGCTGAACGATGGAAGATTACAGACTTAGGGCAGAGAGAAACATCCTACGTACCTTAAGGAAATATTGAAGGCGAACCATGCGGTACAGCAACCACATTCTCCAGAACCAAGCACCTTCAGGAAAGTAGGATTGCTCATCACCTTTCAAAATTAAGGCCACTGTGCAGAGAATCAGCAGAGCACAGAATCTCACTGTTCACAGCTGATAATGCAACAGATTAGCACAAGCAATGGTTCCTCCTAAGAAGGATCTTCTTTGCCCTTGAGCAAAAGTCTCCTGTTTACATTTAAGGCTTTGGGGCTACACAGTTCCATAGCCCTGGCTGAGGAGACATCCTAGGATGAGGAAGAGGACCACAATGAGGTGTTTTAGAAGCTGGACACAGAAGGCTCACAGTGGAAGATGTATCTGGTCCCACCATCCCCGCTTCTAGCCTGGTTGGCTCAGACTTTGAACCACAGATATCATCCAGCCCATGAGAATGCGGTCATATTTGGTGGAGAGGGGGGTACAGGACTACAGGATTTCTTGGGAGTAGTCTGGCACTGCGACTTGGGACTGATCAGTGCTGTTTGTGCTCAGGTAGTGGTTGAGAATTTCCTTGATTTAAGATACCCAAATTCATTATAGTGCTAGAACAATGCTCCATTACAGCATGACCTTGAACAACAAGAGTCTAGCCAGCTAACCATTTTTGAAACCTCGATTTTTTTTCTCTGAAACCTTGATCCTATCTTTTGGCTATCAGTAAGAATACTGGTTTTTTTTTTAATGTGGTTTGCATTTTATAACTATGACTTTTCCCTTATTTAAAAAGAAGCCCTGCGACACTCAGTAAACTTACATCCAAGAATAGGTGTACATATACACTGAAGTGTGTTTCTCCTTTACTATCCTTGATGTTAGTATTTCTCCTTTTCATAGGGTGAATATTTGGATTGACTGCTACATAGCTCCAAGCCCAGATGTGAGGCATTCATCAGTAGCACAGTGTTGCTTTTAGAGCGCCCATCAAAGAAACTATTCTAAATGTGACACAAGGCAGGGAGGAAGTATTTGAAAATGGAAGAACTACCTTGATGGTTCATCAGAATAATGTTGGGCCAAACGTTTCTTATGGAGTCTCTTAACTGTTCTCATTTAATGTAATGATGATGATGATATTTGCTTAAGGTGGAAAGTTTGAAAGGGAAGACAAAGTGGGTGAATTTCCATTGATGGTCAGAGGTTCTTATATTTACTTTAGTAATATAGTATGAGATTCTGTGAATATCTTATCTTTCATTATACAATAATCTCTGCAACCACCATAGCTATCAATGCTTCGATTAAAGCCCTAGGCTAATGGCATATGATAATTTTCCCCCATGGAGCCTTTTCAGGTCAGGAAGCTGGGCAAACGGGAGAGGTTACAGTGGTGGAGAAGTATTGAGGAGGGGGAAGATACATAGCAACTTCTACCACTCTGCCATAGGGTCATAAGCTCAAAACCACCACCCAAAGAAATTCTGAAGAGTGTTCAAGATGAAGCAGAAAAAAGGGGACATCTCATTTGACAGAAGGTGAGGAAAAAACTGAGAAACCGGAGGACAGATTTTAGCATAATATTTAGCAGAAAGATCCACCCAGTTCTTTGCTCCGCTTTGTGGGCTTAAGCCAAATGACCTTGATACGTCTCCAGCGGTTGTCAAATCTGATGTCTCTGGGAAACTCAGAAGCAACATGATACTGGCAACCGCCCCCCCCCCATTGTTTGCATCCAGTGTCTGTTGAATCCATCA